AAAAAAAAAAAAGAAAAAAATAGAAAAAAGGGAACAGCAGTTTTCCAACCTCTAAGAGAAAATAAAGTAGAAAGATACAAGAAGAAGATGATCAACAAAAAAAAATATGTTTTAATCTACAATTTCAGACTTGCTGCTTAACAGAAATCTTTTCTTGATGTCTAGCTAAAGAACTAAATTTGCTTTTAAAATTTTCCCAAGATTTGGAAAAGAGGTCCGTTAGGAGAGGTAACGAGCTGATTACAAAGATGCAGGAATTGTAGGACATATTTCTGTTATTACCAAACAAAAAGAACTGTTTTCAGCATTTATATTTCCTACAGCTTTGAAGAAAATCTTGGACAGCGGAGTCTGAAGTTGACAGCTAACCATTCCAGTTAAAATACTAGTCTAGAGATTGCATCTTATGCTGGAGGCCTGAAAAGATTTGGTTTGCTTTAAATTTACTGTGTTTAAGATCTTCTTTCTGTCTTTCCTGGGAAATTACCTTGTACTTGAAGAATTTTAAGCATTTTCATTTATGCTAAACCTCAGAGATGTGTCAAACTCTCTTCGTCTCTAGTACTTGAGAAAGGGCACCACAAAATATGAGTGACCTACAGGCTTGAAACAATTATGTGACTGTATAAGTTATAGGATCTGGCAATTACAAGTTATATAAAGGTCAGCCATTGCATTCTGAATTCACAGTTACAACATCACAACTAGTAGTCTGCCTTTACCACTGTAGTTTTCTTCTGATTAAAAAAATAATACGGGTCGTATTATATACCGGAGCTGGCAGCTCAAGGACTTGTGCTCCATTATGTCACCTAGCAACTTAATATGCTTCCAAATAAACAGCCTTGTAGGGTTCATAATAGCCCGAACTTTCAGGTCCTTTCTTTTTTTCCAAAGTTTTACTTTTCATAGACTTTCCTTATTCTTGGCAACTGTCATGCCATTTGGCTGAGATAATGATTAGAAGTCAAAACATTAAAATCTTTCCATAGATCAACTGGACAGGATGAAGGGCCAAAACTCTTGCCAAAGTCTGAGTTTGTCTCATCATACAACTCCTGGAAACGTTAGTGCCAAATGTGTATCTTCTACATGACCAGAAACCCTTCTTAAATGACCAGAACTTCAGATCTGAAACTTGGCCTGAATTTATTTGTAATATCTGTTGAGTATGTTATAGGAGCACTGCCAGAAAGAGTACAGTCTATATTTGTAAAAGGTGTGGTGATATAGAAACTTGTGTTCCTATATTTGAATGGAACATTAAAAAGTTGTATGTTTCAGGTACCATCCCAAAGCCCTGTCACCTTTGGTTTTGCTGCTTATGTGTTCAGTATTAAAATGTAAATTCATGTAAACTGCCTTGTTCAGCTGTTAATAGTCCATCCTTGTGAGAAGAGCAGGGACGTTTCTGTCTTTCAGGCTTCTGTTGCAATCTGTTTCTTAGAGAAGAGTGCTACATCTTCACATATGTTAGAGTCACATTTGGAAAGTACCTTAAAATTTGACTGCTGTTCTGACATTCTTACCAAACACATTTATATGTTTCCTTAAAATTGTGTCTCAGTTGACTCAGCTAAGACAGAAAATCTTAAAATATCCTCCCAAGGGCATGTATATGCATACGTGTATACATATGTGTATTTATTTTTTTGTCTGGTTTAGAGTGAACCAAAATTCCGTGGAGAAATTTAGGGATCCTTAGGACTCTGACTGCAACAGGCAACATTAACATGTTTAGCTGCAGAGTTGGTACACGCCTTTTTCTTAAAGGAGAAAATTAAGACATGGAGAAATTGAGCAATGTGTGCAGTTATGCAAGTACAGCCTGCCGTGAAGCCAGAGAAAATGGTGTCTTTGGTACCAAGCCACCGAGTACCTTAAAAGACCAAGATCAACCTTCCCAGTAAACATAAACAGGGACAAACAGGACAACGCACAAATCAGTGCACCTGTATTCATGTGCTCTCATTTGCAAAGTAGCTGGTTTTCCCAGAGTTTGGTTTTGAATACTGTTTTCCCTCTGTATAATCCTGTGAATAGGTGGGATAAATGCACGCTGTTACTGAAGCATACAGCATCCCAATAGCTACAGAAAGTAGTATTTCCAAACTAACAACAACAAATAAAAGATTTGTAGAAGACTAACATCAAAGCAATGTAAAATTAAGAAGTACTCTCGGACTGTTTGAAACCAATGAATAGCTGTTATTTAAGCACATTGCACATTTACAGTCTTTTTTTTTTCTTTTTACAAGACTAAATATTTTCAAGTAATAAAGGAAAAAAGTTGTTTTGTTTTGTTTTGTTTTGTTTTTCCCCAACATCTAGTTTTAGTTTAAAATAAGCCAACTACTATTGCTCATTCAAGTCTCAAATGCCAGATGCGTTTAAGGCTGGGTGATTTTATCACATGCTGATGTGCGTCTGCAGTTGAGAAATCTTATAAATGGGTAAGGGTTGGTATCCAGGGACTGCAGACATCAGTTATTTGCCAATGAAGAGGCAGACTTCCTGTCTAAGTCACTATATTAAAATACAAAATGTTAATTTACCCAATGTTGATTTTATCTCTCTATCTTGGCCTTGGATTATGTATTTAGTCGTTGTTTAGACTTTCCTAGCATCTTTCATTTAAGAATCCCCAAGCATGCATGAATTAGTGAGTTTCAGTTCTTTTGCATTTGGAAGTAAATCCTCCTCAAATTAAGGCTAATTCTAAGATTAGAAGCAGAAGCGATAATATATGCTTTTTTTGGGGTGTATGACTGAAGAACACAGAGGTAAAGTAAATTGAATGAAGTTGAAAATGGTATAAGCCATCTTTTCTAAGTTAATAACTGGACTGCACTTTATCTCCATTATTTCTTCACTGAATCAAAGTCTTATTGTAAGCACTGTCAACAATTTTGATCTTTCACATGTTGTTTATAACCAAGATGGTGAGTTATAAATTTGACATCACTCTATATACTGTAGATCCTTGTTTCAGAAAGTAAAGTTCATAAGGACCTTGGAGATAATTTGACAGACAAATATATACCAGAGTGTTTGTTCATGTTAAGTTATTAATAATCTAATAGTTTATCTTTTACTTGAGATACTGTGACAAAATCAGGAGCTCTGTAGCTTTTGCTCAAGTTTGCTTTGTTCTGTGACCCCCAGGAGAGGGCAGTGATTTGTACACACTCCAGTCAGATTTTTCCAAAGCTAATAAACACCAAGTACTAGATATGATATTTGAAAACATAGGTCAATGTGTATATCAGCTTGCCTCTATGAATAATGAGTTTCAGCAGTACGTATATTAATTTATGAGATTTTCTTGAGAACATAATTTTTTTTGCAAATGACTAGTATGTAGATACTTGCTTTTAACATAACAGATATAATTGTTCACAGTTACTGTCATTGAAGAAGCTGTGAAAAAATCCACTTTTCCAGTTGCATAAATCTAGTGAGATGAATAAGGGCTACCTACAAAAGTTTTTGTTTTTACAGAGATCAAGTCTGATTCACTGAGATGCGTGAACAAGAAATGCTGCATGAGAAAGAAAAGAAACAAAACCAAATCCCTGTCTACTGCCTACTTTCAGGTAAATAATGCTTTTTTTGCTAATGAACAGAAATCCACATATATGGAGTTGGGTCAATCATTGCCAAACGGGATACTCCAATAATCTCCCTTGAGAGAATGATTTGAGTGATTGAAAGAGAAAGAAACTCCAGGTGAGTTACACGGCTAGTTTAACAAACTAAATTGTTACTAGGAATATAACATTTACCTTTCAACGGAGCTCATATTATTTGCAGTATCCATTGAAGGGTTTATCAGAAAAGTTGCGTAAGTAAAACATAGTTTGGTGCAAATCATGAGGCACTAAAAGGATTAACCATTTTACCTTGAAAGGGGGTAGTGTTATTTTGTCTCAGTTTAAGTAGTTTAAGAACAGACATAAATTTAATCCAGAAGGTCAGTTTAAGTACACTGGGTTTTACCTGCTTTTATTATTAGTTATTGAACATTTAAAATTCTTATTTTACAGTTATGAAGTTTTTGCAGGCCTTGGCTCCTTGGCCTTACTAGGTCCTAGCGTATGCTGAAGCACCTCCAGAAGCATAATCCCATGTTGTGGAAGCGAATGTGATTTGAATGTAGTCCAAATGATGGCTGCAAGAGAAAAAAAAAATGATAGAAGGATTGTGTAACATCTCAGAAAATAGCTAAACTGTCTGATAAACAATCCTTTAAATTACTTATTGGAGTTCCAGAATAATGCCACATAAAACGGAATCATGTTGACATGAGGCATCTTACAAATAATTGTTTTGTATCACAATTGTTAACCAATTTGTACAGTTATTGCAATACTTTTCTTAGCATTTTAAAGTCTCCAGGTGCCAAATGTGTACCATAATTTTCTTCCACTGCACATAAAATTACTTAATGAATACTGGCTTGCAGGATTATTATCCTTCCAGCTAATTCCCAATCCAACTCAACTTGCCTTTTCCTGGGCTTCTTGCCACATTCCATTTTTCCCTGTGCTGTTGATGTTATGTAGGACTGAAATATGGAATTATCTACAGTTCATAAAAGAATCAAGTACCTTAGGCTGTTGTGTTCATCTATTATTAATGGACAGTAAATGCAAACACGAGCTAACAAAAGGCAAAGGATAAACACATTTAAGGCAGACCAGTTCCCAGAGAAATAATTTAAAAACTTGTCAAACAATTCTTGAAACATGGAAGAATGATGATTTCCCATAGATTCATTGTATATATTCTGGCACTGTAACTTTTGCTTTATATAATATTTTTTTGAAACTTGCATAGTAAATTCCATTGGAAGATCTCAAAGAGATTTACAGATACTAACAAAATCAGACTTGTAACACCAGTGTGAAGAAAAGAAGCCGGTCAAGCTATTTGTTGCCAAAAACATATCCTTGTCCCAGTTAGCTGCTTTGTGCTCTTCTGCCAGCACAAAGTTTCACAAAATACTTCATTCACCGATTCCTAATTATTCTCCTGCATTTGGATTGCTTTTACATCCCCTAGTTTCTGAGCAGGCTCGTGACTAGCCTTTCAGATAAATTAATTATCCACAGAGGGCTTGATTCTATGCAAAGGAAGCCACTCACTTGTGATCCCTTCTACTACTTCCAAACATTACTGCACTCCAGTGGTCCTGCGCTTCTGGAATGGCTTCTGAGGGCTACTGTGGCTGGGTGTAATGTTGAGCAGTTTTCATCAGGTTTCAGAGATGAGGAGGAAGCAAAAATGTCTTCATCCATTTTTTTCAGGGAAACTAAGCATCTCTGCCAGTACTTAGTTGATCATTTGTTAGTTGTGATTCCCTGTTTAGCAGCCCCCGCACGATGAATCCAAAATCTTCCCACAGGTTCACTGTCTGTATCCTACCTTTCAGCCCTCAATGTATTTTTCAAATCATTTAAGATGGTATTATTTTTATCTTATCATATGTTTAAGCCTTTAGAAAATGCTTTTTGCCTTCAGCTATATAATATTATTATCATTTTATAATATTATAGTTCTTATAAGTAATATTCTATTGTATGATTATATATATGTTGACTATAGACCACTGAGTGTTCAGAATCTTTGAGCATTTCTCCTCTGAGCAACTTGTGTTTTCATAAAAAAATAAACAAAATACAGAGAAAATACACCCCAAAAGAAGTCCTTTAGAGAATGTATCAGTTGTCCATTTGATTACTGCTAAGCCCTACTTATGCCTGAGTAAGGTATAGCCAGTTCCACAGATGGCCATAATCAATTTCCTTGAAAATGAAGGCTTTATAATCCACACTTGCTGAAGACTCCCACATGAACTTGATCTGTGGAGTACCCTACCAGTTACATATAGAAAGGAACCCAGACAGCCCCTTTATGCTTAATAAATGTATCCCAGAACCTTCCTCCTCAATTGCTTCTCTGCCTGCTCAGCCAGTGCCCTTTTTACCCACCACGTGACTTTTTCTTTCTCCCAACTCCAACTTATATTTAGCGTATATATGCTTGACATTAGCCAGTCAAGCCTCTAACTTTAATCCTTTTAACCCTGAATGTGGTAACCTTGAAGCTCTATCTGTATCCATGCTTTACTCAAGTCTGGCCCAGATCACTGTTGGTACTGCTTATGTCTCAGTCTCTGGCATCCTTCCATTTCAGCATTTTAATTCTTCAATAAAATATTAATCAAATGAGATATATCTATACAATTTGCCAATTCTAAGCTATTAATGTTTGATGAGGAAACATTTGCTTTTTTGTTGTTAATAATATCTGATAGCATCAGGTAACTTGCTTGCTGTTAAAAAGTCATGAGTCAGTGGTCCTTCAGCTATGAAAGCATAGATCTTATCCATAAAATACTCTGTGACATAAAAATTCTTCTGAGAATGGAAATAAGTGATGTTTTTCAGAATTAAGGCTAAATTAAATGTTCTCTGTCATTTTTTTTGAGAATAGCATGGGGTATCTGTGCTGCAGGGTTTCAGCTTGTCTATCCGTGAGTTTGTACTGGTAGGTCCAGAAATTTTCGATATTCAATGGCCCTGCACCAACATTTCATTCTCATTGCATAGAAGTCCTGTGGGAAGAACTTCACATCAGCTGGCGTGGAATGTGCAGAGAAGTGTAGAAGGCTTGACTAAGCCCTTGACTAAGGGCTGACTGGCAGCCCTTTCCTCAAAGGGTAGGCAGCCTCTTCCTCCAAGCAAGAGTAAGAACTTCTGAATTTTGGAAATTGTATTAAGAGAGATGAGTGAGAAATTCACTGTTACTGCCTTCTCCACTTGTGTATTTGAGAACTGTTTAAATAAGTATAATCTCTGGAAAGCAAAATATTATATTTTGTGCATCCGTTTGACTGTTTTGGCTTTCTGACACTTGCCTTGAGTATGTGTCTTTCCTGTCCTAAAAACAATACATTTGGCATACCAAATCTGAAAATTGTACAAAGACTTATGTAATTACATCCACACCAGTGGTCTCTCTTCTGTAAGCTAATTCTGTGTAACTTATGTTAGTTTAACATGACATGACATGCACACAGAAAACTATTTGTCATTTCCTTGTATTACACAAAAGATTTTTCCTGCTATCAAGGCATTCAGGAAGTCAAGCACAGTCATCAGAAATAATTGCTTCATTGGTGTCTTTAGCCCATATGAAACAAATTATCTGAAACCCTGTCAACTTGTGTATCAGAGGCACAAGTAGTGGATAAATTTGTTGTTCTTCACTTTTTTCCAGTCTGAGGAGCTCACAGGTCTTTACAAGAGGGATGAGATTAAGCTCACAGCATCCACATCAAGCACTCAATTCTCCAATTCCCATTTTGCAGATGACTAAGCAGACTCAGAGAAATAAAGAATTCTGTCAAAGAGACTGAAACATATGTATGTGTTTTATATACACTGCCACTTTCATGTCTTGACTAAGTTGATCCAAATGTAATAAGTTAAATTGTTACACATTCCTGGATCTGCCACATTAATTTGGAAAAAAAAAGTGCGGTACCAAAACTTCCAGGTTTTAGATACTTCCTGTACCTATTCAGGACAAGAATCTTCTAGTAACAATGTTTATGACATAAATTGTATGAAATGACACAAAAAGTTATAGAGTTATTTGTTAAAGCCTGCCACCTTTCTGTCTATACTTGAAATAATGGAAGGAAATGACAAATCAAAGATACATACCCTTTTCTTGTGACAATGGTTAACAAAATTTTATCTGAACTGGTTCACCAGTGCTAATTTTCATCAATGATCCATCTTCTTCTATAAAGAAATGGATTACTTTAGAGGACGTTTGACAATGTCATATCTTGGTCTTTGAGTATGCTGAGCATCCCAACTTTATTTCAAACTGCTTTGGGATCCTAAGGAATACATTCTGGGATTTAGGAGATCAGTGGGTTTAGACACGTGAGAATTGTTATTCTGGTTTATTTTTTAGAATTTCTAGCTCATCAAGTTTTAGTAAAGTTTTGGATGAGTTTTTATTGTGTGAAACACGATAGCCATCCCATTACATAATATAACCCCGCACTTGCCCTAGTGACGTGCTTCTTTTCCTTCTTGTGGTTCAGGGACAATTTTAAGTCCCCCCTCATTCTTCTGTACAGTTCAAGTTCTTTTAAGCTTCCTCTGCTCAGTTCTGTTCTGTGTCTGCTGCTGTTTAAAAACGATGCGACAAAGAGTCCAGACTCAGATTAATCCATTCAGCTGTGGGCCTATTCCTTTGACACATTCCTTCTCAGCGCCTTCAGCAAAGTCAGTATTTGCAGCTCCCCACCAGATACTTCTTCATAGCTGTCTCCTCTCTTAAAGAAGCTGCAAAACTCATTTTCCAGCCTTTGTATTCATAGGACTTAAGTCCCAATTCTGTGTAGTCTTTGTGAAAATAATATGGAAGTAGCACTTGTCTCTTCTAAAGACAGTCATAGCTGTTCAGTGTCTCATTGTTTTGTTTGCTCTGCTTCAGACACAAAAACCTGGTGCTGTGGAATATTGAATGTCTTTAACCATGGCTAAATTAACAGTGACTAAGACCCTGGAGA